CGCCGTAAGCTGTCTCCAAACGTCGTCGCCGTAAGCCGCCACCGTCAAAGTCTTCGACCTAAGGTCCTCAGCTCAATCTGAAACTCGACAAAGAAGAATCAGGCGAAGTTTATGTTGTTAACTTAACATTAAAAGACAGTCTAATCTTATCTACAGATATTCGGTCTCCGATATTTCTCTATCAAATCAATTATCTTTCCAAATAAGGTGCCAGTCTATCCAAATGAACAATTTTATTCTTATGTCTACTCGACTTGCGAATACAATAAACCACATCGCCTAACTTTTTCACTGTACAATATGGACCTTCCCAACTACACTGTACTTTGGCAGCTCTCCCTCTCACTCTTCGAGGATTGTATAACCAAACTCTCTCCCCTTCTTTAAAATGACTTTACCTAGTCTTTTGATCATACCAGGATTTTGTTTGTGAAGATTTTATATGTAATCGCTTCCTTACGTTCTCATGAATTTCGTCTAACTTTCTCTTTACCCTAGTGGAATAACTTTCCAATGATACTGATTTCTCAACAACAGGTGGGCTACCGCGTAACAAATCCATTGGTAATCTGAGATCCTGTCCAAGATATAGCTCCGCTGGGGAGAAACCTGTGGTCTCATGTTTGGAGGTTCTATACGCCAGCAAATAAAGTGAAATCCACTTATCCCAATCTCTCTGGTTTTCTGAGATAAATTTCGCTAAATAATTTGAAATTGTGCGATGCTGACGTTCTACCTGCCCATCTGACTGTGGATGCAAGGGGGTCGTCCTTGTCTTCTTAATTCCAAATATATGCGACAGTTCACGGAAGATTCGTGACTCAAAATTTCTCTCTTGATCAGTATGAACCTCGAGAGGAACTCCATGCCTAGAAATAATCTGATTTAGGAATACCTCTGCAACAGTTTTTGATCTAACATTTTTTAAAGGGATAGCCTCTACCCATTTAGAAAAACAATCTACAACAACTAATAAATACCTATTTCCTGAAGAACTTATGGGCAAA